TTGCAAGGCATTTTCTCTTCCAAACCTGCAATTTTCTCTCTGTTGAGGGACAAGTGAGTTGGACTTTTACTGCAGACTTACTTATAGTATAGATATCAGTTGTGATTTTGCTTTTCTCTTTAGGTTCCCTTAGAGAACTTCTAATATTTGACATTAATTATTTAAACCTTAAGAGTTTTCTCACATACCATGATTCTGTTGGGCAGAAGTCTCTGGCTGGCTGAAATGCATAAAAATAGCAAGAGAAAGCCCCACCAAAACCCAAGATCCCTCTAGAAAAATTCTCTGCTTGTGCTGCTGAAGTCAGACAGGTGTGGTAAATGCCTGTGCCATCTTGGAAAGCAATTCTTAATTTGAATGACTTATTGGTAGATAATTGAAATTATGAAAGAAGACTCTATGCCCTGATGATGATTTGTGTTTTAAATGTCACGCAATCTGCACAACATCTCTCTTGAGAGGAGGGATATGCTGAATCCTTGAAGCTGTACCACTCCAAAAGTGCCTCATGCAGGCCTCAGTGCTGGCTGCAGTTGCCACAGCCCTGCTGGACTCACACATCCAGCAGGAAAAGGCAGCAAAAGGCCACCCTTATGAAGTCCCTGCTTTTGCTGGTACATGCTAGACTGTTTCATGCTTGTCATCGTCTTCTCCCTCTGAAGCCTCCTTTTTCTTGGAACACACCACAGCTTTTTCTCCTATTCAGCTAGGCTTACCACAGAGGTGGGTAAGATAAACTATCCAAAATCCCATAACCCAGAGATGCCCAGTGATTTTTCATGCTACCTATCCTTTAAATGGCCACCAGCACCCCAGAATGTGCCAACAAGTTCATCTGCCAGTCACTTCAGCTTGAGTGCCTGTAGGGAAGAGAGACCTCATTCTTGCACATGAGAGGCTGATTTAAAGCTGTATAATTAAGTTCATGTTGCATCCAAAAAAAAAGCAATGAGAAACTGCCTTCCTCCTCCTTTGTCTTTGCCTTGTATGTAGTGCAAATTCATTGATTTAGCAGAATGACTCTGACTTGAGGACTGTGGTAGTTTCTACTGGATGGTGAGACCTGTGCTAGATTTTGATCGGCAGGGTCTCCTCCCTCTTGGTGCTGCAGTGTAACATCAAACCCACCCAGGTACCCAGCATGGAGCATAGAGAACATAGGTATGTGTTACATTGGTGGCTGAGAGAGCATGACAGTGATGTAATGTATATGCATATGTTTCAATGACTTCCCTAGAGAACTCTCCCCATTTCCCCCCAGTCATCACATTCTTTGTGATTTCCCTCATAAAAACCTCAAGCCGCTCATGCTTCCACTCTCTGGTTTCCAAACCCTCAGTCCCTTCTATTAGACCTGAGTGTGGCTAAGGTCCCTGTCCTCGCCTATCATCCTTTCTGGCCACTCCCAAAAGCATCCATTTCACTTTCCAACATACATGTATGCTGTCACAGTATGGTGGATCTTTTTGCTGTTCCTTTCCATTGCTTTCTGGAATGAGCTAACTGTTTTGCTCATCAGTGTTTTGCATATGCTTAGGGGTGTTCTCAGGCTTCAGGAGGAAACTAGCAGCTGGATTATCTCAGTGCTTGAAGCAATGTGCAAAAGAAAATTCTTTCTTGTCCCCTGAATGAGGAATAGCCACTCTTCTCAAAAGAAGCTTCCCAGAGCTTCCTTGTGCACAATAAAAAATGAGCTTTCCTACTTTTTGCTTAGCTGGAAGGCAGGCCTGGATGGTTGAGGAAAAATGTGGTCACAATCCTACATAATCCTTTCCAGCTCTTTTGAAGGAAGATCTTTGTCTACTTTTTTCTCTCTCCTGCTGTTGCTGTGCCTACCACTCAGTGTCTCACCTGGACTCAACTTTGCTTTGCAGCTTTTCCCTCTGAATCTTCCTTCTCTCACATACCAGCTGCCTACCCTCTCACCCAAGCAGCTTTTCACACCATATAATGTTTTGCTGTTCTCCCTTCCCAGTGATGCAGCCCAGTGGCTTGCCAAGCCAGGACACACCTCTGTCTGTTGGGGAATGTGGAATATACTGGGGTGGGGTTGTGGAAGGTCGTGTTCCGAGAGCAGAGCAAAAGAAGCACCTGGTAAGAGGTGGCTAGGGCAGGGCTGGAGGAGTTGGGGAGTCCTCATCTGTTTGGGGAAGGTGAAGGAGGAGGGCAAACACAGCAAGGAGCATTGTCAGAATAGTGGCCAGTCAGTACCGGTCTTCAGCTGTGGGGGCTGCCAGCCTACCCTCCTCTAGCTGTGGTCAGATCTGGGTGCCTGCTCCTGCTACTCCTGCCCAGTCACTGCTAGCTGCCCTCCCCATGGTTTTCCTTGCAAGAGCTACCTCATCCTCATGGGGAAGCCTGCAGTTCCCCATCTTTTCCTTCCTTGTTTCTCCTGGAGACAGACAACAGCTCTCCATCTGGCTGGGGAAGGCAGGAGAAGACATAAGGAATATATCCCAGGGTTGCATAGAGAAAAAGATGTTGAAGAACTGCTGCTGTAGCTCTCATTATTTAGGGTGGTGTGACGATGAGCTGCTTGTGACTTGGTGGCATGTGCGTCTGGGACCTCTGCCAGAACATCCATTTGGAGAGAGCTCTGCATGGTGGAGTGATACAAATAGCAGAGGAGCTCACGGAAACCAGGCACTGCCAGCTGTATTTGCTGCTTTGCTTTTTATTTTTATTATACAACATGGTAGGATTTTAAAGTGGCTTGAAGTGCATTTTTTTCTGTAGTAAATCAGAACTTCCTAAATCTAGTATTATTAAAAACCCTTGAAACTTAGGTGCAGTTTATGAGGTTCGAAAGACTAGAGCAAGCAGCTTAAATGTTCAGAGCATCTCCCCGTTGCTGAGATTTGCTCATTTCAATAGAATCTGTTTATCAAGGCCAAAATACTGAATCTCTCTTTTTATCTGAACTGCAGTTTGCTTTTACCAAAACATAAGGGGAACTGGAGGCCTCTTGTGGCCCTTTTTTTGTTGTCTACAGAAGATGAGAAAGGCTGATCAGTCCTTTCTGTAGAAAATTTACTAGGAACCTGAGCTGGAATTTTAATTTTTGTATTCAACATTAAAATAATAGTGGGGCTGCCTTATTTTTTTTTGTGTGAAGGAGAGAAAACAAGCAAGGGAGAAACTGTTTCCTCCCATATTTCTTTTATTCAATATAATAATAGAAAAGAGTTCTTCAAGTGTTCAAGATAATAAAAAATAACTCTGAATGTCGTTAAGTTGTATTTGTTCACCAGCCTGGTAGGAAATTATATTTTCTGAGCCACATAAAAACACACAGCTCTCAGGTATGTTGCCGCTGAAGATGAATAGATCACACAGACACAGCTCAAGGTGTGGTGAAAGGAAGAGAAAGTTTATTTTTCCTTCCAGGATTTATAAGCTTCTGACCACAGCCAGGGGTTGGATGGTCAGTATAACACTTTCTCACTGCACTGGCCATGAGAGATGTCCATCACAAGATGTGTAACAGAAAGAATGTACACATATCTATGTTTACAGTTACTGTCCTGGGAAAGTCCTTAGAAAACCATGTCAGCAAGCTCAGAAGCTGAGTTTTCAGGGCGACACAGGTACTTCTCTGAGTTATGAGAAAAGCAACTTGCACACTCAAAACAACCCAACAAACCCAGAAAATTCCACTTTCCAAACCACACTGCAGCCAGAGTGGGAATCTCTTGCAACACTACTTATTCTAAAATTTCCTATCCCCAAATTACAAGTTTATTTTCCCTCAAATTATCTAAATTAAAATGAGGACAAGTTGCCAAGCTAATTTAATAGAGCAATGGTGAAACTGGTTAGATCTCTTCTGTCCTTCTTCCCGCAGTCCTCTTGACATTAGAGCACAATGGAGGTTAGAGTATCTTACATTTGTGGTACCCTGGTGCCCTGTTTCTGCTAAGATGTTCCTATAATGAAGAAAACTCGTACACCCGTTATGGTGTGTTGTGCGTGTCATGTCCAGCCTGTTCTATCTGTCATATGACCGTGGTGCACATCAGCAGATATCTCAGGATGATGTGCATTGTAAAGCACATGTATGTGTGTTGGAGAGTGACCTCAGTTTCCTGGTAGCAAAGCTTTTGGGCTCTATCTGGAAATAGGTCTAGCAACCTTAGTAGGAACCTTTTCCTAATGTGCATATTTAGGACTTTGAAATGAAAATAATTTCCTAAGAGCCTTATGAGTGTAGACCGAATTGATTGTGCACTGGTATCTATGGCATAGAAACTCTGTAAGTAAATAAGATATAACTTTAAGGGCTAGTGGGTATATCTTTATTAGTAGGGATGACCAGTGAAAAGGCAGCCAGGGATATGGTTGCATTTATGTTAGTCTGGCTCGTTTGGCTGATTTTGTTGCTCTAAATTTTGTCCATCTGCTGAACAGAACTCAAGGGGATTCCTTGTATGATACTCTGACTCTTGTTCAATGTTCTTAATCACAGTCCTAACTTCAAGTATATAGATAGTTCCACTTATCACGAGTGTTGACAAAGCCATTTCCAAGAGTCCATTTGCTGTCTTCTCTAAATATAACCACTTGTATTTTTTCCTGGTATAAGAAGTTCATCCTGTATTATTTTCCTCTTCCTGCTTTTTCACCCTGAAAACACATTATGCTCTTTCAGACTGGAAGGATTTACTTCCGCTTAGCAGAGTGGATGAGTTATGAAAAAAGAAATGTTTATCAAAATGGCCAAGAGAACAATTCTATAGATCATGAAAGTTTCAAAAAACAGTTTGCAGTGAGAGGTAAGTGATTACTCAGAGTGGCAAAATTATATCTCTAATGAAAAGAATTTCTATTTTCACATGCGTAGTCACAACATCACAGAATGGTTGAAGGTGGAAATGACCCTTGGACATAATCTAATGCAACACCTCCTGCTGAGATCACAGTCACACAGAACATGTTGCTCTGTACTGTAAGCCATCATATTCTGAGCATCTCCAAGGGTGGAGACTCCACAAATTCTCTCAGCAGTCTGGTCCAGTGTTCAATCATTCTCTCAGTGAGAAGTTTTCTTGTCTTTAAATTAAGTTGCCTTTATTTGAATTTCTGCCTGTTCTTTATCATCCTGTCATTGGACACCACTGAAAAGAGCCTGGCTCCATCTTTTTGGCTTCCCCCCATCAAGAGTGGGTAGGATGAATAGGATGCTCTTGAGCTACTCCAGGCTGAACACTGCCTACTCTCTCAGCCTCTCTTCATTTGTCAGATCCTCCAAGACCTCTCAGTCTTCCTGGTCCTTTGGTCGACTCAGTCCACCATGCTATGTCTCTCTTTTTTGGGCGTCTCAGCACTGGACCCAGCTTTGCAGCTGTGTCTCACCAGGTCTGAGGAGAGGGGAGGGATCACCTCCCTTGACCTCCTGGTGATGCTCTGTTTAATGTAATGCTGGACACTGTTGGCCTGCTTTGCTGCAGGGGTGCATTGTTGGCTCATAGCTTGTTCATCAAGATGCCCAGGTCTTTCTTTAGGGAGTTGCTTTCCAGCCTGTAGTGGTGTTTGGAATTATTCCTGCCCAGGATATGACATTTAATTTTGTTGAGCTGCACAAGGTTTCTGTTCACAATTTTTTTCAGCCTGTCCGGGTCCTTCAGGATGGCAGCAAGATGCTCTAGTGCAAGGTGCTCCCAGTTTTGTATCATCTGTGGACTTGCTGTGGGTACCCACTATCCCAGCATAGACATCGCTGATGAAGAAGCTAAATTATGTTGGCCCCAGGATTTTCTGCTGGGGTACTTCAGCTGTGTCTTGCTAGACTTGGTGCCGCTAACCACAACCTTTAAATCTCAACAGGTTGTTTTGTAGTCAGTTTAGCTCCCTGTCCTCTTACCTGGACCAAACCACATCACTGGTTTGCTTGGTTGTTGTGAGAGATACTGTCAAAGGCATTACTGAAGCTGAGGTAAACAACATCCCCTGCTCTCCCCTTGCCACCCAGAAGTCATCTCCTTTGAGAAGGCTGTCAGGTTGAGTTACCAGGTTATCAGGATACTGCTGAGGATAAAAGAACAGCTAATACACTGATGCATTACTGTCTCAGCCACTGAATTTGCTAAGTAGCTGCTCAAATCTCAAATATCTCAATGCTGTGAAACCTCTGTTGTAATTTTAAGCCTGAATCTGGCTACTTTTAACATGAAAAAATGTACTTTAAGTTAATTTAACAAATAATTACTAAAACTTTTCAAGCTTTTATTTTTAAGTTTTAATTGAAAATAAAAAAGGGAGAGGATATGAAATCAGTGCAAAAATTATTCTGGAACTTTGAATGAAGCAGGTTAGTAATAATAACTTATGAAATCTTCAGTCATTAGAAGGAAAAATACCTCCCTTCCAGATAACATTGGAGTATCACCACTCTTCAAATGTGATTTAATTTTTTTCTTACTATAAGTTTAATCAGAGTAAAATCTGCAGTTTACAATTTTGTATAGCTTTGCTATTCCAGTTGGGGTATTTTTTGTTTCCTTTTGTTATAATTAAATTCTTTAACTTCCATGCTAGTTAATAATTTGTAAGGGTTCAATGCTATGCTAGATTTACAGGGAATAACTTTGTCTCACTGCCTGCATAAGTAGTGCTCTTTTTCCCCCTTTTTAAAAATGTTTGAATGTGTTGCAAATCTGTGGCCACTGTTGAGTCATGCTGTGTAACCAGGCCAAGCAGGGATGTCTTGCCTATTTCTGGCTTTCTAAGGATATTTCTAACATTTGGCTCTAATTAAGAGAATGTAGAAATGAGGGACAAGATATTTTTTACACGACCTCCAATCACTTAAGAAGAATGCTAAACTTAACATTTGAATTCTCTTCTTAAAATGAAACTAGAGTGTTGGTCATTTGTAATGTTTAAGTGCTTTCATGAGGAGAAAATATGTGATGCTAAAATAAGGGGTTACTAAAAGGTCACTTTTACAGGAACAGAAGGCATAACAGGAGTCAGTGGCTAGAATCTGAGGCCAGAAAATTTCAAATTAGATGTAGGGTTCATACTTTTAATAAGAGAGGTCACTAACCTTTAGAGGAAACTTCTGGTTGACAAATTAAATATTTCTATTTAGTAAAGACTGTAAGATTTCCTGGTAGATGCACTGTAGCCAGGCATAAATCTGTCCTGTATTCCAACACAGCTGAACTTAGTGCAAGGGCAACAATCTGTAATAAAAGGGCATATGTTAATGCAAAATGTTAGAAAGAGCAGGAGGGTTCAGCATCTAATTCTAGACCACATGTGGCCCCTTACCCAGCCTGCCACCCTCTGTTGCTGTAGCACTCATCCATTGTGAGGTGGGGTGAAGAGCAGCATGCCTCTGGGAAGGCTGGGACTGATACTTTGGACAAGAAGCAGTTGTCCAGCCTGTAGGCCACTTTATACCTGCTGCTGAGGTTTGGCCAGAGGGACTCTGGTGCTGGTAGCCTGTCCCCAGGTCCCTCTGTTTGGGGACAGTGGAGACTATGCAGAAGCCCAGCTGTGCCACTGCTAAAATACAAACACTTGTGCTTGAAGTTCAACTAGTGTCACACTTGTCTGTTTGTAGTCTGGGATTAGATGTGAGAAAATGTTGAATAGGGCACACCTGGATACAATGATTTAGAAAGACAAACGGATCTACCCACAGAGAAAATTTGAAGACTGGAAAATCTAGAAAGAAACTCATAGCAACTGTCCTTGCAAAGTTGCTGTCACTGACATAGACAGGAATGGAGCTGAGGAACCCCACACTTACACTTAAAAGACAGAAAATAGTCCAGGGATGTGACCAAGGCAGAAAATGCAGAAGTTAGGTGTCTCATCAATGTAATTGTAAGGCTGGGGTTGACAGGAGAAGTAGGGAGTTGGAAGGTACTGTTTAACCTGTCCTCCCACATTATGGGTCTTATTCTGCACACTAATTCTTCTGTGAACCTCATCACTTCTGTTAAACTCAGTCATACTTTTCTGGAAGAAACAGATGCAAGAAAAGGATGGGCAAGGAAGAAAATTACTGTAGCTCTACATGTCAATTTATAAAATGCAGAGAACATTTAGCTAATTAAAAAAGGCATGGCAGTGTGGATATGGCGCTCTCTGATCCCCAGATAGAAGGCACAACAAGTATAAATTGGTTTTTTCTTGTGATCCTGGGTATGGGTAAGGCTTGAAGATGAGTGACCTGTGAAATAATAATGTGTGGAACAATTAAGAAACCCATATAATTTAGTGAAATTATCTTCTTATGACAGCAGAAAATACACTTAGATGCCTGTAGCCAGGTCCCAGTTCTGTCACTGCTTATGATCCTCCCACTGAAATCACTGGAGCAGTGACAGTTCGATGTCATAGTGAAATGTGTCCATAGTCCCATGAATCAGAAATAACAGACTTGTGAACCAAGTCTGAGACTTCATAAAGCATGTCTGTGCATTGGGGTTCAGCTCCCACTGAACTCCAGTAGTCTTCTCTAGAAATCTCAGGCAGATTATCTGCTGTTATCTGATCCATTCATAGAAACTCCAACTATGAGAGAATTTGTTTGTTCAAATACCTGTCATAAAAATAAAAATGGCATTAATAATGTATTTCATAAATCAGTCAATTATAATTCCCAGAAACGTTTGTTCAGGGCACAGGAACAGCTCTGATTCTTCTGCATAGAGCTCGAAAGATGACAGAACCAAATACATTGCTGGGAAAGTGGTATTTGTTGTGAGATTTAGTTTTTGACTGTGACACATAGCTATAAGTTGTGTGGTTTTGTTGTTACTTTCATTATAGGCATTTTTTTATGGGCTTAGGGGCTAACCAGGGATCATTATGCAAATGCAAAGCATCATCTTCATTTTGCAGATGATGCAGTTCCTCTTCCAAGTCAGACTTGGCATAAACTGTCATATCAAAGAAGAAATAATTTGATACCTAAAGGCAAGTTATTCATTTATGTAAACAGAAAGTTCCTTTGTTACTAAAATCAAAGATACTATTCTTTAAATACATAACTCCACCAGTGTTTTGAGATCCCTTTTATACTTACTTTTTGCATCACCTTGTTCTGTTGAGATAAAAAGATTTCCTCCATTTTGGAGGAAGCTCCGCATACATGGGCTTTTATAAGCCATGTAAATAAAACCACCTGATTTGATTTTTATTATATGAACCCTGCCTTTATACCATGTACCCTGTTTTTGGATTTTGAATATAATTAGTGTAATAATAGCCCTACAAATATCTTATCCAAACTTTTTATCTCATAATATCATATGCAAATACTTTCATCATCCTCTGTCACATCACCTTCCACTCCTTCTCATTACATTTAAGCTGCCCAGCTGCATATCTAATATTTCATTGCCTCATACCTAATTAGCAGGAAACAATTCTGTCTCCTGAGTTATGAAAAAAATAAAATATTTCTCTTTTAGGCCTTCTAACAGAAAATCTGCTGTGCCTCTCAGAAATCACAACCCTTGTTTACTCCACTTCAATTATTTAGCAAACGAACCAACCACCATGCTCCACAGTGCATGCATTATAAGACATATTTTTCTGCATGATGGTAGGCCCTGAATTCAGCACCTCTGTCCTCTGAATACTGCTGAAGTTTTGCAGACAGCATAGCAAACGAGAATTTTGTAGAAAGAGTTGGAAATTATTATCTGAAGCAAATAACAGAATTTTTTCTCCAGGTTAGCCAGCTCCTTGAGGAATGGGTACTATCTCATAGAAGATGCTGACTTAGCCTGTTAGTAGAGATACTGATTTCTAGAAGTACAAACATTCTTTTAATTAGTCCAAGTATTCAGATCCAGACTTGGATCTCTGGATTGATTTGTTTCTTATGTCACATTGCATAATATTGCAACATAGCCTGGTAGGGGTGTTTAACACAAGCCTAGAGTATTGTGGGAACCGAGACAAAAAGGTAGGATCTTTCTGTGAGAGCTTAAGATCAATCTGTGAGGCAGTTGATGGGAAGTTGTTTTTTGTTTTGTTGTTTTCTTTCTTTTTTGGGGTTTTTAATGGGTCCTATTTTAAACATTTCCTCTTTGTCAGAGAGACTGGAGGAGTGGTTTGGAAAAAGACCCTAGTGCAGTGTTGCTTCTCTGACAGAGGCTGTTAAGAGGTACTGATGGAGACATATATATATATATGTTGGTCTTCAGTATGTCCAAAGTCTGCTTTTGGATCACTGTTTTGTAGTTACTAGAGACTGTTTATCCTTCAAATATATATAATCTGTTTTGAACCCAGTTTTACTTAACCTCTAGAACTTCCTGTGTCTGTGAGTTTGACAAGTTGTAGAGTGAGGAAAAAACCTAATTTTTTCCTTACTGTGTTTTCTTTATAAGCAGCCTGTTAAGGTATGTATGGTAAGCACCTGTGCTCAAGGGTGGTTTGCATCTGACTTTCTGTTCCTTTGTTTGTAGTGGGTGTTGCTGACATGGTGGTATGTCCTGAAAATAAAAAAAGAAAATATTATCTGGAGGGCAGTATGAGGACAAATAATCATTTAAAAATTTAAGCCATAGATGGTGGCTCTTAATGTTCACAGACTCAGTTTCAAATAAGATAAGAACATACTTTTTTTAATGACCCTTTGAAACTTACTGTAGCCCACAAAGCAGTTTGAGATATTGCTGTTGTAAACCCACTTGGTTTTGTACAAGCAATGCAATATCCTGTTCCATGGTGCTGTGAAGTTGGATTGGACTGTTTTAGTGGTTACCGGGTCGTGTTCAGCCTGGAGGCCTGTGACAAGCACAGGGTCTATGTTGGGACATGCCCTGTTTAACATCAGAGACCTGGGTGAGGAGACCAGGTGCACATTCATCTGGTTTACAGATGCCATCAAACTGGGGAAACCAGTCAGTACGCTGATACACAAGGTTGCCATTCAGAGAGACACGGGTAGACATAGCCAGCAGGAAAGCCATTAGGGCCTGTCATGGTTTAGGAATGGCACTTCCCAATTCAGTGCCCCCAACCAACCTCTCCCAAGGTCCAAGAGTCCAAGACTCTCCCAAACCAGATGCTGCTTGCTTCTCTCCCACCTTCCCCTTCCCCTCTCCCTTCCTGATGCCAGGACAGAGTTGTGAAGTGGAGGGACAAAAAGTTGAAAATTACAGGTTGAGATCCAATTTACTGGAAACATCAATGAAATAAGGTAACAGCATTAAGAACAAAAGGTGCAAGACAAAGAAACTATTTGCAGGGACAAAATACCAACTTGTTCCTCACCACACCACATTTTTCCCTGTCCTGAAATGAGAAAGAGTCCTTTAGTCCTGCCCATTGCATATGATATGAGATGGTATTGATTAACAGTAGGGTCTGGCCTCATGCCTTTCCTGGTTACTGTAAAAAAATTAACTCTGTCTTGGCTGAAACTAGGACAGGACCAAATGTGAAGTCCTGCATCTGGAAAAGAAGCAAAACAGGTGACTGACTGTGAGGAGCAACTGTGTCAAAAGGGAATGTGAATATCTTATAAATAGCAGGCAAATATGAGCCAACAGTTTTCTGGCAGCAAAAATGGCTGAGAGCACCCTGGGCTCTTTTAAGATGAGTGGAGTTTGTAAATCAAGGGAAGGGATTATCTCCCTCAACACTCATGAGGGTACATTTAGATACTTGGCTTGTTTTGGTCTCTTGAGCATGGGAAAGACACCAATAAAGTGGAATGAGTTCAGCAAAGAACTATCATGATGCTGCACCTACCAGGGACCAGGCCTGGCTCATCTCAGAAAAGATTGCTTTGGAGGGACTTGACATCTGCCCCTCACTGCTTCTGTTGGAGTAATTGAGGAGATGGAACCAGGCTGTTCCCAGTGATGCAGAGTCAAAGGGTAAGAGTTAAAAGACATATGTTGAAATGGGGATCTCAGGAGAAATGTTTTCTCCATCGGGATGGTTAAGCAATGATTGCCCAGAGAGGCAATGCAAACTTTGTTCTTAGAGGTTTTTAAGATTCACCTGATCTGACCTGACAGCCAATTCTACTCTGAGCAGAAGGCTGGACTGGAGACTTTCTGAGGTTCCTTCTAGCTGGAATTATTTAGAGATTATCCTTCAGTTACACCAAGATTTCACTCAAGGGTGCATTTGTATATGCCAGGCAATTGCAAGCTTGATGTGTACTATGGGCAGGTTCAGTTTATCATGTGTACTCCTTTGGAAGACAGAGGCCAGATTGTTTTTCCTTTACTTATGTGTTACTG